AAAAGAAGGATTGCATGAATTTTACGAATAAATTGGCTATCTTTTGAACCATGTATTTTATTCAAATGAAAGTGAGAAGGAAACAGGCTGTCTGAGTCTGGCTCACAATATCTGCCAATAACACTGCAATATGATGCATATCATTTTATGGTGGGTTTGTTTTCTGTTTTGTCTACCTATAAAGCTATCATTTATTATTATCATATACTGATAAGCTATAGAGAGAAAAAAGAGAAAAATGAAAACACAACTTGCTATAAAGGCATATATAATGTTTAATTTTTTTCCCCACAATAATAAAAAAAATTACCATAGTATATTGAGCTTTAACTAAATATTATATTAGTAATTAACTTGTAGGTTTAGTTGACTAGCACAACTAACTCTACTCTATTTGTAATGTACTTCAAGATTTTGATTTGTTCGTTTACAATTTTACCAATTAAATTAACATAGAGGCTAATTGAAAGAGAATATTTACACATAACATTCATAATATTTAATTTAAAGGGCTGTTTCCTCATCAGAAACATACCTGGAGTTGTTTTTTGTTTCATTCACACATGTTAACACACAAATCCTGCATATTTACAATGAGTTCTTGTCTCAAACAGAAAACACAGAAAAAGAAAAAACTGTTCCACCTTGTGATGTCATGTGGTAATACAGGAAGTGCTGCACTGTGTTTTAAAACTCCATACACCTTCACTTAGAATCATTTGGATCATTTCATCCCTGGAAATGCCAATCTCCACTTAACAAAAGACAAAAAGGTAGCTATTAACTTGAAAACTACCACTTCATGACATCACAAGGTGGAACAAAGCATTGCAGAATTACTCAAAAATGTGAGAATGAAACAAAACAAAACTCTGGGTATGTTTTTCAGGAGGTAACAACATTAAAACATGGCTTAAATCTCACAAGAGTCAATTTTGTATAATATAGGACCTATAAAATAACAAAATCTTTGCTTTCCTGGTCTCATTTTGATTTAATAATAGCATCATCTTTATAATAAAATCTGTTTTTATGCAAAGGGCATGTGTCACAGTCTTGTTTATATGCAAAAAAAAACCCCTAGCGATTTGATATGTGGGTGTAGCAATTTTGACATTTGACCGCACTCAAACTTGTTTTAATACTCTTCCACAAACTACATGCGAAATCAAACTTGAGTGAGCTAGTACCGTTTACTTATAAAAATATTTCAAAAGTTCTTGCGTCAAATCTCTCTCTCAAACTGTGCCGTGCAGACATATGAATGAACCTTTATTTTATCCACTTCCTGGTTCTGTCTGAGTCACACACTCGCTGTGTTTCAATACCACCTCCCTCAGTCCTCCATTTCAATAATTCACCTTGGAAATAATCACTCCTTTCTTTCCGATAGCACACGAGGGAGGTACAGACAGAGGAGAGGAGAGCAGAGTCCTGACACAGCACCAGCCTGCCGGATACAAGCTAAAAATACATAGTACAAGGAAGAAAGGGGTATTTTTGTGAAGATGTATGGCAGCTCTAACTATTATCAGTGCCAAGGAGAAACTTTTAATCGTTCCCCTAACAAGTTTTCTCAAGCAACAATTAGCCAGATGACAGCGCAGATCAATTATTGTTAGCTTCATTAGCATAGTAGTTCAATTAGGAATTTTAAGCAGCCCGCCTCACTAAAATATGTCTGAAACAGGGGTGGGCGATATAGACAAAAATTTACATAATGAAATTTGGTAGGATAGTCTGATTATACATTCACAATCCATCTTTACAGTGAACACATTATGCTGTTTTCTGATCTGTGTTATAATGTTGTTTCCTCATCGAAAACATACCCTGAGTTGTGCTTTTTTTTTCTATTCACGCATGTTTAACACACAAACCCTGCAGGCTGTCTTCTTCTCTCAAACTGAAAATACTCTGTTCCTCTTTGTGATATCGTGTAGTATTACAGAAAGTGCTTCACTGTGTTTTTCAACTCCATACACCGTCAGTAGAATCATTTGGATAATTTCAGCCCTGGAATTACCAATCTCTACTCAGTAAACGGTAAATTGTCCCTGTAAACCACTGCTTCATGACATCACAAGGTGGAACAAAGCATTTTGAGCTTTGGAGATGTATCCAGACTAATAATAAACATGTGTGAATGACACAAACACAACTCCAGGTATGTTTTTAAGATCTCAAGAGTTTATTTTGTACTAGTATATGATCTTTAAAGGTCTTGGTTGAGGTTCACAAATGAAAAATATGTGAATGGACAAAAAAAACAAACTTGTTGATTGTAAGTTGATTGTTTTAGTATTATTTTTACTACCATTGTGATATCGAACTAGGTACTGTGTCAAGTCCTTTCCCAAATATTACATTTTTGGTTCAAAATCTGTGATACAAAAGGATGGCAATATGCAGAAATAGCATTTATAGTATGTTTACTTTTATCTATAGCAGATGTGGTTACAACTTTTTGATGTTTGTTGCTTTACTACGATATTCTTCATATTCTTATTTAGCATGACTGTGAAAACAAGTATACAGATATTATTTTGGTGACAATATATAGTCCACCCCTTATTTGAACTGTAATTTGACAGTGCAAAAGAGAGAGCTTGAGAAAATTGTAATAGTGTTAGCTTTAGTACATAAGAGTCTTTTTCATAACAGTTATTAGCTGAAGAAAGCACCATACTGATTATACTGATTATAGCTGTAATTTTCCATAGAGGGGCTATTGCGAGGCTTTGGTTTATGCAACAGTCTCTACACTAGTGCTGTGTTTTGTCGACATGTTTTCTTTTTGTCCAGAGAGAATGCTGCAGTTCTCGAGCTTGTTCCCTTTCAATTTTCGGATTGAAAAGAGGCTTGTTTGACAGTGTGTAGAACATCACAATTCAATAGTGGCTCACACCACTGCTGCTGTGCTGTGTGTGTCTCTTATTCTACACCTGTGTCCTTGCTGTTACCTCTCCCACTGCTGCAATGCTCCACTCGAATGTAGTCAAAATGAAAGAAAGTATACTATGTTTATTGTTGACGGCTGTAGGTAAAGAAAAATACAAATTTATCTAAAGTATCTGTCTATCTATTTAAAGAACAGCCAAAATAATCAAAAAAGTATTTTCTAAAAAGAATGAGTAAACTAGTACACTTAAATGGAAATGTTTGTGTAAAGAAGATCATAAAACATCTAACAGACTTTACACTATATTTCTAATGTTTGGAGAATATATGTTGAGGGAGGTTCTCTTTACAGTAGTTTTAATTAGAAATGTATAAAATCTTAATGTATGCACTGTATGTATTAAAATGTCAATAAAGAAAATGTGTTGTAGATAAAGAATATTCTGTATGAGAGATCTAATCAAAGAAGATACTACCTCTAAGTCTCAAAGGGTCAATAAAATCAATTATCAATAATTGCTTATAAGGTATACTTTACTTAGTTCTACAGGGAAATTTATCATCTACATTTGCAGAATGCAACACTAGTTAATTTGCATCTGTAATGAGTGATAAAAATTAATAATGCAACACTCTACTGCTCAAATCTTATGGAAGAACAGAAAAATAACCAATATTTTCCCACTAGAGCAAGAAAAAAGTACCACATTAAATATGGACCCTCAAAAAGTTTTGTTCCATTTGTCATATATTGAACAATAAATCGATATACTAATTATCGTGACAGGCTGAGCCTAAACCATCCAAAACAAACATGGTGACGTGGATGGACGTACTTCTGCCTATTTTAGTGGAAATACAAAGTATGTATCATGCAGAGGGTAAGTGTTTTCTGCTTTCTTGGACAGTAATTGAACTCGATGTTACACATATCAGTCTAGTGCCAGGTTAGGACTCCCCAACTTGAATCCAGATCTGAGTATTACAACATTTGGACAAAAGACATGGGACAATATTGAAATTTGGTGTCATGATTATCATTATCATGGCCAAAATAATTGCAAGTAACACTAACATAATTATAATCATTAAAGTTGCTGACAGTTTAAACGTTTTATTGATAGGAATAATTAGAATTTTAATATTATGAACAAGTTTCATATTTAAAGGTCCAATGTATAACTTTTTTCTGGTGGAGGGAACGCAAGCTGCTTGTTTCCATGGAGACATCTTTGCTTTGGCTGAAATTTTCTACAGCATGGCATTAAATGCATCCATTTCCAAACACGTTTCAAAACATTTTATGGCACACTTATGGCACACGGTGACGATTAGGTGGCAGACTCTCTACCTGAAAGTTTTCACATTGCACCTTTAAACAGCTGTTAATGTTTTGTACTTTGTTATAAGTGAAAACAACAATGATCTGGAAGAGACTATGAAGGCTAAGAAGTTATTTTTCTGCACATTCTGGTGATAAATAATCTTTGTTTCTGATTATCACAATTATATAAAATGTCCCAAGAAAGACGATTGTCTACCCTTTCTACAATGACTCAACAATGGCTTGAAAGGCATACACCTTTATGTAATAGATAACCCTATGTCCTGTCAGTCATCACTGTTTTACTTATGACCTCTTGTATGAAGCTGAGATGTTTTTATTACTTATTTTTCTATTTTATTTTTACTTGTACATAAACAGACACCAATCTCTTGCTACTTATTTAGAATTTAGAATTATCGTTTACATTTTTTCCCTATAATGTGTGAGCTACAGTGTTGAAGTAATTTCCCTTATGGATCAATAAAGTTTGTCTAAGTCTAAGTCTAAGTTTACACCCATGGTTCCATCTTCTTCTAACACCTCCAGATCGAGTCACTGAAGAGCTACCTTTCATGTTTACAAAGTGTCTTGAAAACAGACTACTTTTTAAATAGCGTCTCAAATCGATAACGGCGGGCAGGAGTTCAAAAAGGCCACATCTCTATTTACCTCGAGGTATTAGCGGTAATAGACTTGCTCACTCCATAAAAGCTGTGGTCTGTGTTTGTATTTGAGCTGTTGACAGTTCTGTTGTGGTGGTGGTTTTACTCACGGGGCTGGGCTGCTTTGCTCCTCCACAGCCTCCATGGCGCATTGAAGTGACCTCTGTAGAGACGACAGCTGGCTCGATGTCTCCCGGAGCATGAAGCGTGTGACGAACTGGCCCAGAACACTTGAGCCCTGGTACTCCTGCAAACAAAAAACAAGAATAGACAAGGCACCTGAAATCCACAATGCCCCTAAGCAATTTCCAACCATCTCTGTCTCATTGTCTACTGCAGATGTGACAGCTAAACAGGCTAAATGAATTCATCCCAAATTACATTACTCAATACAGATGGTTTGGAAGGCAAGGTGAAGGGAATCTAATTGTGCTGAAATTGAGGCAAGAGCCCCAAAACACAAATATGATTATGGATAGTCAGTGGAGTTTCCATCTGAAAGGAAAATACAACGCAGCAGAAGACCATGCAGACAGAGGGGGAGGAAAATCCAGTAAAAAGTTGAGTAAAAAGTAGTTAGCAAGCGAAAGTAGTGAACTCCAAACATGCACTGTGCATTGATTGGTTGATGATGATATTGTGATACTAATGGACACTAAAACTATTATTAGAAAGTAAATACTCATAAAGTGAAAAACAAACGCATCAATATGATCTCCCATCTACAATTCCATCCTCAAAAACAAAGAGGTGTGAAAACACTTATTATGGGCCTGAATGATTATGCGAATATGACCCCACACTCAGTACAGATGAACAGGCCTAGCTAAGAAACAAACTGCAAACAAGTAGGGTGTTAGTTTCAGAGGAGTTTCAGTGTAGTTAGCTCCTCCCTGCAGACAGATATAAGTAAGTGTCCTCCAGTGTCTGATCAGAACTGAAGAAGCAGCTTGGATGAGCTGCGAAACCTTTTCGACCTAAATAAATGTTTGTCCAGTTGACAAATTGAATTTCTCCTTTGCCACATCAATATGATAAAAATCAATGATCTTGTTCTATATCAGAATAGAAAATGTGTACCGTGCAAGTACAGTATGTTGTACATATTCAGCCAAAAACAGTAATCGAGCAGCAGAAAGAAAGTTTGGAGTGAGCAAGAAACTTGTGAGGGAGTGCCGTGCAATTTTCCTGGAAGTTATTGGATGGATTGACAAAGTCTGGACATCAGTGACAACCAAAACTATCCTGTCGGGATTCAGAAAGGCCGTAATAATTCTAACTGGAACTGATGCTGAGTCTGACGACAGATACACAGAAGAGGAAGCAGCGCTCCATTTACCTCCATTTACCTCCATTTAACTCCAGGTCATGGAGTTACTCAGTGACACAGGGGATGAAGAATTCAATGGATTTATTGATCTGGAGTGAAATCGAGGGTTTGGTAAACTTCTTCTGTTCTGTTGTTTATGTTATAGTTATCTGAATAACTGTTCATATGTGACGTTAACAGCCTGTTGTTCTCTGTTCTATTGTTGTTACTATAACTTGCCTTTCAAGATGAAATGTCAGTTCCTGGTCTCTGTTTTTCTAAAATAAATTTCCCCCAAAAAGTGAGACTGATAGTCCGGTGCAATTTATATATGTTTTTTTCTTCTTCATTATGCAATTTTTGGCTGGTTCAACTTATACTCCGGAGTGACTTATAGCCCGAAAAATACGGTACTATATTGTGTATGTATTGAAAATTACATTGAAGATATACTGCAGGGACATCTCCTAGGGAGCGATGTGTTCCACAGAGGAGTGCCTGGAGACCCATCCCCAGATCTTGAGCTACATTAGTCAGGACTTCCTTCGCTGGAGGAAGTGACCTTTTGTACATGTGTTGGGTTGATAGGGGAAACCCACACTGGCACAGGGAGAACATGCAAACTCTGCACCAAAAGACCCAACTGAATCTGGAAACTTCTTGTTGTGAAGCATGAGCACCAGCCAGTTTGAATGTTTCAGGTTGTTTAAACCTAAAATTCTCATTTGAATCCATCCATTCATCCACTTTATCCGCGAGGCAGCAGTCTAAGCAGGGACTCCCAGACTTCCTTCACGTTGAACACTTCCTCCAGCTCCTCCAGGGGATCCCAAGGCGCTCCCAGGCCAGCTGAGAGACATCATCTGAATCCTCACTGCTCAAACCCCAGCACCAGCATCATTAATCAGTACTAGTGCAGCCCCTGCAGCTCAGTGAGTGCATCTGTTCTCTACAGTATATGTGGGTTAAAACACCAGCCTAGGTTCAGTTTTGATTATACCTTTTGCAGACACATAAAGTTTCTTTATAAAGGGCTTCAAGTAACGCACACACTGACTCTTCTCATAATGTCATCAAAAAAGAATGGTACTTTGGGAAGAGTAAAAATAAACTCGATATGATTCATGGAGCCTATAACAAAAAAATCTGAGCATGTGCAATTAATTAAAAAAAGGTATGTGTCTGTGTAAAAGTACCTTATTATTATCTAACTCTGAATAAAGCTACTTCTGCAAATGCATCATGGGATTAGCCAAACCACAGCGCCGTGGAGCAGACGACATATGCTAACTAGACTCTGAAAGCTCCACGGGTAACGGACCACTAACCCCTCCTCTCTCTGACAGTATAAAGAGGCATACAGAGGCAAGGTGGACTCATTAAGACTATAACGCTTAAATATTCACAACACGCATTTGCTTCCCCATTTAACAAGAAAGGCTGTTACTACTCAAAGCCTCAATTTATGGACGCTTCCTCTGTTCACAAAATTAGTAGTCGGTAGCAATTAAAGCAGTGTTTTGACTTGGAAATTTCATGGTAAGTAGATGGTGCTTTAGTGGAGAATAAAACTTGACTTTGCTGCTAAATGAAGCTACATGAAAACTTTAAACAGGCAGGGTACTTTGCATAATACTGTGGCACTGTTAAAAAACACAATAAAAGAAAGTAGCTGGGAGGGCACTGACTAAGGAAAGGATGTTGTTAATTTCTTGTAGTACCAAACATAATGTACACCTTCTGTACATTTCTGTGTTTGTCTTACTTTAACCTCTGTGAAATGTCTGAATAAATAAACTCAAACTGAAACTGAACTTTAAGTGCAGAGTTTTCAGGTCAGCCAGATGAGTTCTCGAGATATTTGCGAGTTTAGAAAGTCATGAGAATCCATCTGGCCCGGCTCCCACTGCTGTGAACGGCCAGTTAACCAGTGGTACAGACCAATCACAGGGCAGCGTAGTGGTTTAGATTGGAAGCATATACCGTATAAAGTGAAAAAAGTGAAGTGTATAAAGTGAAATCACTCATAGAGAGCTCCAGTCAAATGGTTCTCACGAGGCTAGCAGTTATAAGGAGTTCCAGATTAGGAAGAGGAATTTATTTATGGACAAATGAAAGGATGAATGCTCAAACAAAAACCAAAACAAACATGGCAATGCAGACAGACGTAGTTCAGTCTATTTTAATGGAAAACAGACCAAAGCTCTTTGAGCATTTGTGTAAGGGAAAGTTTTTCTCAAAGGAAGTAACAGAAGTTTTAGTTAGTTAGTTTTTGTATTGTTCTGCTGTTCACCAAGCCAGGCTGGCACCACCTAGTACCTCCGCTCAATTTCATTTCTCTCCAGCAACTAGATCAGCAATCAGAATAGACTAGACCAGGGGTGTTGGCAGCGCATTACATATGTCACGACCAAATAGCAGCGATTGGTTAAATTAAAAAAAGAACCCACCTACTGTTGAGCGAACGAATTCTAATGCTGCGAGGTCAGATGGTTTCTACGACGTGAAACCAGCTGATGAATCTGGCTAAGCAGTTATAGGAGTGAATCTGGAGCTGAGTTCCAGATTAGGGAGAGGAATTTATTTATGGACAAATAAAAGGATGAATGCTCAAACAAAAACCAAAACAAACATGGCGACGCAGACAGACGTCCTTCAGCCTATTTTAGTGGATAAACAGACCAAAGCTCTTCGTGCATTTGTGCAGGGGAAAGATGTTTGTGCTTTTTTTCTCAAAAGGAAGTGACAAAAGTTAACTTTTCGTCTCATTCTGCTGTTGTGAAGCTTCACCCTCACCAGCTTCAAATATTCATCATGACATTCTGCCTTTTCCCAGTCACTTTCAGCGAGAGCCCTTTCCAAACTGATAATGTGTAGAACTCAATTGCTCTAAACATTTCAACTTGTTATTCTTACACTTCTAAATTGGGGCAATGTTACAACCAATATTACAGTCAACAAAAGCTTAGTTTGATCAAATAATCAGTGGTACAGAACAGAATGTCTTCAACATGTATACTTTTTAGTCGTGTTTAAACTTTGTTATGTTACGAAACAAACAAACAAACAAAAAAACTACTGAGATTTGTTTTGACTGGGAAGTTTCTTTGTAAGAAGCTATTTTTATTATTTTCTTCTGTCTCTTCCAAGTGCTCCCATAAATTAGCCCATCAACTGGCCTAAACTGGGACCACACAAGCGTTTTGTCCTAATTAGTCAACACTACTTATTGCAGTTCTTTTGTGCAGTCATCCATTTTGTAAGTCTGGCTGCAGCACTGGCACCAGCAGAGCTCCAACAGGGTTTTCTGGGAAAGACTTGAATCAGCACAACTCAGCACATTTTAGCACAAAACCCTCTGTGTTTGGACGCCTACTCAGTTTTTATTCATTTGTACAAAGGCAAGGTCATCTCCAGTTCAACAGTGGGCAATATAAAAGAATAAAAGGTTTGATGCATTGGGCTGTCTTGAAACGTACCTCTTTGGTTTTATCCATGGCCTTAAGTATAGCGATGTTCAGACTCTCCAGCGATGAAAGCACGTTGAGATATTCGCCCAGGTGTTGGGAAAAATAATCTGGTAGAGGGCAAAAACACAAACAAACAATTCCGATAAATGCAGCATGTAACTAGAGATGCACTGATGAAGCTTATTCAGGTACCGATTTCAAGACTATCTATGTATACGTATCTGTAACAAACGACTGAAAACAGCTAAGAAAGATAAAATAAATCTAAACTGATCCAAATGTGTTATGTAGCTGTTATTTATCCCACTACAAATGACAGAACAGATTTATAAGATTTTCTGGTCCAAGTACCATCAGTAAAAAGTCTTTTTACATCACTTTATATGTTTACATGTCCAACCAGGATATCGTAGAATATTGAATTGGTGCATATTGGTACACCATTGTCAAGAAACAGCCCAGAAAAGCTGTTGTCCCCATACCAGCCATCTATCCATAACAATTTGGTGCTTGTCATATTCTATGCTTGGATAATGACACACATTTGCATGTCATAATTATTCCAATTAACTGTTGCAGCCCCACCAGAAATCCACACTGACAATAAATCATTATTCATTTCTTGCCTTAAAGGTTCATTGTGTAACTTTACTGGTGGAGGATACGCTACTGGCTCCATGTAGATGCTATTCCACAGTATTGCATTAATGTTTCTTTCTAATATTTATTTCAAAAAGTTGTATTTCCTTGGATGTCATAGTGTTATGGATGTTATGGTGTACATATAAGTGCTGGAAAATTCTAAAATGCCTCATTTCTAGTTTTTGTTGGCGCACGATGACACAGCCCTATTTTAACTAAACATAGTCACAGCTAATGACAGTATTTGCTTAAAACAGTTTGCACACATTAAGAGCAGTAAAATTTTAGGCAAAACTAGAAGGATTGGCAATTTTCTATGTGTCATATCAAAACAAGATGTGCTAAGAGATGGGCTGTTTTTGTTATTTTTACTGATCTCCATTTACACTTTTTACATCTACAATAATAAAGTATATCTTATTTGTTAATCACAGTTATCTGTTTATATAGTGCTTCATTTGAATAATATTACATCTAGACAGTTTGGATGACTAATGCTGAAAAGATTCACAAGAGCTGGGGCACTGTTAAAAGATAATAATGCATTAACTTAAAGATACACTATGCAGCTTTTCTGATGGGGAATCTGCTACCTGCTTGTTTACGTGTGATAATTGCTTTGCCAGGAATGTTCCACAATGTAACTTTCTTTGGGAATCAGCTGGAAAGTCCCCCTGGCTGGAAAGTCCCTCTGAATTGTACCCTTTATGAAACTAAGTTAGTTAATCTATATACATATAGATAAAAAAAGAATATATATTTTTAATTAATTACATTATAATTATTAATTGCCAATACTCTCCTCAGTCCATCTGCAGAACATGGGCAGTGGGTCTTTAGAAAATAAAATGCTGGTTCTCTGTGGTCAGATGGCAAGTTAGGCACTGTCGCTGTTTGTTTGTTAAGATATAGATTGCTGATTTTCTAATTCAATCACAGTGCATGATGCGGCCGACGAGAATATCCCCCTTCTCCCGGGCACAGCAGTTACCCTGTGCCGTCTGAGAGAAGCCAGGGACACATTCGAGCCGATATTCCTATCTTTCATTTATTCAATTAAAGGTGTCGTTTTATTTCTAAATACAAAACATGCTTACTGTGGCTCCACCAGAGATCTGACCTGTAACTTGGCCCGCTAGTGCCCTCACCCACTTGTCTCCATGGAGATAAATAGGTTTAATGCTATACTGGAACAAACCCGTCTGCCAGGCACACATAACAGAAGACCTCACTGCTTTTCACATGGGATTCTTTCAGGCAAAGTAATAACATTTCTATGGAGACAAGCAGATAGTGAAAAGTTACACAGTGAACTTTTAAATTTACTTTTTAAATGAGACTAGTTGATCAGGGGCAAACCCATAGCAGACCTCACTGCCCTCCACATGCCTGGACAAAAGAACACTGTGCTATGAGAACTTTGACGTCAAATGGAGGAGATGGCATTCCCATTCGATAAATTATGCAGTGCAGTTTTATTCTGGGTACGACTGGTATTTACAGGTCTCTGCCCTATTTCTCCACTTTTCACAGTCCATCTGACACGCTTCACACATGCACAAGTACAGACACAAAACTAGGCCAATGGATCTGGTAGAAAGGGCTGCAGACTTTACTAGCCCACTCAGATATATTATATTTGTTATTATTGGCATGTAGTAATAGTAAAATATACTACGTGAAACAGACTTTTATGAGCTTTTAACCTTGTCAAAACAGTGTGTACAGTGTGTGTCTACCTTTTAAATTTTGCATCCTAGTGGCTTGTGTGGCATAGGGCCACACTGCCCCTACATTAGTCAAAAGACTGTTCCTCATCAATTTGCAACACCTGGCATTGCTAATTAATGGTCTTAAATAGGTCGCAAACCACAAAAACAAAGACATAGTGCCACACAGTGGCCGAAGGTGCATTTTGGCCGCTACACAGTGTTCTGTCATCTTTAGCTTGCTCAGAGTTGTATTTAGATTGACAGATGCTTTAAAATCAGATCCTCAGATATATTCTGACTATGGGGCACATATTCAGCGTTAAAAATGTCAAAGATCTTATTTTACAACAATAGAAAAATGTTTGAAAAAATGCCACTACAAAGAGGCAGAGTCTGTCAGTTTTGCAGTGTTGAACCAAAAGTCAGTGGACCCATTAATTAAAGCATTTTATATCTATAATGTGGTTTTATAATGAACACAATGTAAAATAATAATTGTCTCATGTTATAGTTAATACTAAACACCAGAAAAATAAATAAATAAATAAATAAATAAGCATTGCAATAATTGAACTGGTTTGTAATCAGGTCCCATGTAAACATAGGTGTTCCCTTTTTAAAGTATTTCAAGCTACATCCAAACATGCTCTGACAAAACTCTGTAACTCTCTTAAATAATAATTACAGTATATTGGTCAAGATATAGGTGAAGTGTCTTGCCAAAGGACACAACAACAGTGTACAGAGCTGAGCTGGAGCTGAGATCAAACCTCCAACCTTTTGATGATCCTCATCAAACAACTGTTGCCCAATATATTTTCTTATTAATAAACTGAGTCTGTTGCTAATGTACTAAAAGGCAATACAAAAGTAGCACCTTGATAATCAATTGTCAAAATAAATGACTATTTTTAATTTTGTAATAATGCAAGAGAGGCAGTTATATTTGTGGTGTGCTTACAATGTGGTAAAACTGTAACTTAAATATATGATAATCTATAGACAGTGAAGAGAACAGTACTGAATATCTGCATTAAAATATATTTTGTACATATTTTGATACACAGTCCAATCACAGAGTACTGCATTCTGAATACTTAGAATACTTTTACTTTGAGTTGCTTTATATTATAATGTAACACAGCAAAGATTCAAAAACTATATCTCTGTTGCGTCCTTGGTAATCCACTATTATGATTAATAAAAGAAGGAAAATCCAACTCTGTGAAGTTTGAAGCATAAAGGCCGCCACAGACAACAGGATTTTTTGGATGTAAGCAATTTTTAAACGTGCGATAAAAAGCACACACCACAGACACAAGGAGAATCTTATGAAACTTAAATCCTCCGATCGCAAAGACTGTTGCGGAATATGATTCGCGTACCACAAGCTATTAAGTTGTGAGTGCGATTGCATCTGCTGTTTCCTGTCTACAGTAAAACGACTCACTTTGAGACTCTTAAGTGTTCAAAAGATCAAAGCACTTCTAGTTTAGACACAAGTCAAAACTGTGTTATTATTACTTGTGAAATGTGATGCAATACTTCAAATACATGATTTTAAAGCAGGAAAGATTGGTGATAAAGTACACATGAAGTAGAGTCAGTGTCGCTCATCTGCAGCTTCACGACAATCTGTACTCTGTGTGGATGTAAACAGACACATGTGAGGAACTACTCTTGCCTTTTTACTTTCAAAGAATGAGTCAAACTGGATTAACAGCAATGTTTTGTGGACTGGATGTCATTATTTGCAGACGACAATTTCTATGGATAATGTGGATGAGATGTTGCACTTTAAACTGACCACTTTACGAGAGGTGAGCAATAAAGTCTTCTTGTAATATCCCGAGTTTGTAATTTACATCTCTGTATCCATCACTCCTCTGCCCCTGACACTCTGTTTTATTGTTACCATAGCGTTGCTGATGTTTGGTGGTTATGATCTGACAGAGCAGCTCAGAGTCACACTGACACGACACACACGAGGAGCGCGGCGACTTCAAAATCGCATATGAAGACACAAAGTCGGGTCAAGCCTCCCTGTAAGAAAACCGCAGCCAAAATCGGCTGTATTGCAAACACAACACCAAATTAAAGCGTAACTGTACCAGAATACAGCTACTCAAAATTACAATTCTTTATACTTTTCAGAATATTTTAGTTACTTCTACACTACAACATTTGAAGCTTGCATAGCTTCTGGTCTTGGCAACAACACTATTTTTTATTTTTTTTGTAGAAGTAAATAAATTCAGTGATAAAAAATAAAACCTGGAGATGTTTTCGTGCCAAATATGAATGCAACGTGTTAGAAAATAAATTACCACGACCCACCTGAGAGCTTGTCCGTGTCCAAATTGCTGCAAGGGAAAGCACAAGAGAAAACGGGACATTTAATTAGATACATAAGTTTATTTTTCCACCATGGGGACAAGAATACTCAAATATTACTCACAAGAAAGGGACAAGACATGATCCTTCTAGTTAAAGTGACTATTCTCTGATCTATGTTATAATGTTTCCTCATCGCAAACAAACCTGGAGTTGTGTTTTGTTTCATTCACACATGTTTAACACACAAAGCTTGCACATTTTGGCTGAGTTCTTCGCTCAAATGGAATGCAGGAAACGCTCCACTGTGTTTTTTAACTTCATACACCTTAATTAGAATTATTTTGGTGATTTTTAGACCTGTAATTGCTAAGCTTTACTCAACAAAAGGTAAAATCTAGCTGTTAAGTTGAAAAGTACCATTACATGAGATCACAAGGTGGAGCAGAGCAGTTTGAGCTTTAATATAGGGTTATCTAAACATGTGTGAATCAAACAAAACACAACTCCGGGTGTGTTTTTGATGTGGTAACATTATAACATGGCTTAAAACCCCACAAGAGTCAATTTCATGGCATATAATAGTATCTTTAAATGTCCTTCAGCACTTTAAGATGCACTGTTCTGGTTTAGAGTCCACTATGTGCTTGTCCCCATGGAGATGTTACATTACCTCCAATGTACCTTAAAAAAAACTCTCCACAGATCTGACCTGGAACTTGACCTGTTAGCATCACCTGCTTGTGTACATAGAGATGGATAGGATCAATGTCATACTGTGTTATGATGTTATAACACCTGCAAGGAAGCAAGAAGAAAATGGACCCTCCTCTAGAAAAGGGGCACAATGTAAATAATAATTGTTGCACGCTATAGTTAATAATAAATACTAGAAAAAAAGGCATTGCAATAATTAAACTGTTTTGTAATCAGATCCAGTGTAAACATAGGGGTTCCCTTTTTAAAGTATTTCAAGCTACAGTCAAACATCGTCTGGCAAAATTCTGTAATTCACTTAAACAATAATTACAGTATATTGATCAAGGTACAGGTGAAGTGTCTTGCCAAAGGACACAACAACAGTGTACAGTTGGAGCTGAGATCAGTGGCACAGTGCATCTTTAATTAGTTACATGTCATTTGAAAAATAAATGTGTGAAATATGTGTGTTGTGATTTTTTTTGGGTAGCTTTGAATTGTGAAGGACAGGGCCCATACTTTTAGACAGACTGGTGCCACCTAGTGTCACCGCTCAATTTCATTTCTCTCCAGCGACTAGGTCAGGAATCAGAATACACTAGACCAGCGGTGTCCAAACTTTTTTCATCAAGGGCCACATAGCTAAACACAGGTGAAGCAGAGGGCAGATTGAGGGTTGTAGACTGATGCTCACTACAGGGAATAATTGAAATATGTAAATGTTTAACATGTTAGAATGAGCCATCAGTCTTTATTCATGCTAAGATCCTTAAAACCACACACTAAATATTAAATATTTGCTTTATCAAGGTAGATTTTCAAAAAACTTGAAAAATATTTTTTCAATTGATGCAAGGTAATTTGGGCCAATTCACCTGGAAGTCTGAGGGTCAAGAAAAACTTGTCTGAGGGCCGCATTTGGCCCCAGGGCCATAGTTTGGACATGCCTGCACTAGATGGTTCGTAAAAACCTTGGAAGTGCAAGTTTGGGCACCAGCCAATCAACAAAGAGCCATACATTCTGTGTTGTCAACGATTCCTGAGATCGAGGATTTAAAGCAGGAATAAAGAGAATGTTTGGTGGATTTTATCAAGGGGGAAAGACGTTATTGCCCTTCTTCCTACGGGATTTGGGAAAAGCTTAATATAACAGTTAGCCCCGATAGCGGCGCATTACATACGTCATGACCAAATAGCAGCGATTTGTTAAATGACAAAAACTACCCGTCTACCGTTGAGCGAACGAATTCTAAATGCTGCGAGGTCAGACTTTGGTTCACTTCATAGAAACTGGCTGATGAATCAGGCTACCATACTTTATTACTCACAATGAATTCAATATTTTTTTTCTCACATACTAATCCTGAGAGAACATTTCATACTTAAAGTAGTAAAGCACATATAGTAGTTTCACCACATTTTCACATAAGCTCACTGTGGACCAGCCAGTGTCCATTTAACATTCTGTGACAGAGTGGATAAAAACTCAATTTCATATAATTTATCATAATACAAATCAGCGAAATGAAGGCTTCAGTTAACGCCAGATGGCACAGTGTCCAGTTTGCAGGGCTAATCAACAGTCTCATTAGTGTTGATATAACAGCCCAAACAACAGCCCAAATGGAAATACCATTAGAAAAATATATAAAACAAAATAAAAATAAAACAAATTGAACTTGCATAATTAATTGATCTGTGTTTCTATACATGCTCTCACAGTAATGTGTCTTTTCAGGGTAATATGATTGGATAGTGGGTACCATTTAATAATAACTACACCCTAAAGGTCCTATATTACACAAAACTGACTCTTGTGAGCTTTTAGCCATGTTATAATGTTGTAAGTTATGTCATCAAATCATTCAAATGATTCTAGTGAAGGTGTATGGAGCATTTCCTGTATTGCCACATGACATCACAAGTTGAAACAGCATGTTTTCTGTTCTTGAGAAGAATTCTGTCTAAATATGTAGGATTTGTGTGTTAAACATGTGTGAATGAAACAAAACACAACTCCAGCTATGGTTTGATGAGGAAAAAATTATATAACATAGAACTGAAAATAGCGTAATATGGGCCCATTCATTGCCTAAGGTATGATATAATGAAAGTAAATAAATCGTTTATGAAGAATGAGTCAGGCTTGGTACCTCAAGGCGTTATCGTACACAGTGTAAAATGTGCTTCTAAACTCATGAATACTAGGAATGCATAAGTGAGGCATAACTTTGAACCACTGAAAACTGTTGAAAATGAACTAGTTGTGTTTCCACATTTTTAAGACAGTAACAATCATGTTCAGCAAGTTTAATTAAAGTTTTAGGGTTAGGAGTATTAATTTAAGTAGTTTTAAGCCTGAATCATTCTTAGAAAAACTATCGTCACGGTATGAACCTCATGGTATGATATTTATTGCAATATCGTGGGAAAGCTTACGATATGACGGGGAGGCTCACGATTAGGAATGTAACAATATCCAAATCTCTTAGTATGATATTTACGCAAAATTTTCACAATATACATCTGACGATACAATATTTATTGCGAAATTTTGTGGAGGCTGTGAACAAAACTGTTAATATGCTACTTTTTCCTCTTAAAATGCCTTGACAAGACTTAATCGAAAGAGCCAAAGTGCTTAGAACTGCTATTTCTTCATGTAGTCTACACTGAAATGGAGCAAAGGATCATGGTCTATGTAGTTCTCTCTTTAAATCTTTGTTCATGCTTTGTTATGGTCATTAAAACTGTTGTTGTTCTAAAATGTTGTGTTGTCAGTATGTGATAACAGAGCCAAGGACAAAGTAGCCTTCTGGATTGAAAGACTATAAAAGTTCAAATCAAACATCAAAAATAGAGACTTTCCTTTGAGCTGACCGCTATAGCCCACCCCGAGGCGGAGCTCTTTGATTGCAGTTTCAAAGCAGTGTGTTTTCAAGTGGCTGCGTTGGCCAAGTTTCCCACACTAAAACATGAGGCTTAATTTTAGCAGCCTGATTGATTGGGAAGTCTATTTTTCCTAAGCTTGTTACATATTCGTGACATTTAAAAGGACAGTCTCTCTCTCTGTAACTGCTGCTGTGAGCCTCATGGTTTTAGCCTTAAAATGTTCGTATTAACCCACTCTACATAATCCTAGTGTTTTTATTTAGCTACTTTGTAAATAAATTCCTATTTCTAATATGGAATTGGCCCCTATAACCGCTAGCATTGTGAGCTTGCTATGGGGGATGTCACATTCCCCTTGTACACTTCTTTATATACAGTAGTCTATTGTTGCCACTAGCCTGATTCATCAGCTAGTCTGACCTCGCAGCATTAGGATTTTTTCGCTCAACAGTACACGGGTACTTTTTAATTTAACCAATCGCTGCTATTTGATTGTGACGTATGTAATGCACCGCTAACGGGGATAACTGGTATATTAAGCTCTTTCCACATCCCATAGGAAGAAGAGCAATAATCTCTTTCCCCTTGATAAAACCAAACATTCTCTTTGTTCCAGCTTTAAGTCCTCGATCTCGAGAATCGTTGCCAACACAGAATGTATGGCTTCATCTGTATCCACCTCGACCGCTTTGTTTACTGTTGTGCTGTATCACAAAAAGGGACCCAGCCATGGCTTCACACCTCTTTGCTGATTGGCCGGTGGGCGGTCTACAACTTCCGGGGTTTTTGCAAACCGTCTAGTGTATTGCAATTCCTGAACTAGTTGCTTTAGAGAAATGAAATTGAGTGGAGGCACTAGGTGGCGCCAGCCTGACTAGGTTGCCACATCCTTATCGTGCAAATGGAGGACACATACTAGTTTTTCTCAGTCTCAGTATATGGACAGGCCATGGCTCATGTGAAAGCTCAGAGCCTCCAGAATTCACTCACTGAGCTGCAGAGGCTGCACTAGCACTGATTCATGATTGGCTAGCGGTGCTTCAGGTAGATTCAGATCAGAGAGAGCCCTTTCAGGTTTAAACAAAATGGATTTCACCATTGAAACTGCTTATTCTGCTTTCTGGTTAGATGATTGTCTTGAGAACTAAATCAACAAATCATAACATAAGCAACGGACAATGGCCAATGTTTTTGTAATTAATAAAAAAAAACAAAAAACATCACAGTTGTTAACAGTAAAAGTCATATTTGAACATGTCTACCTCATGTGTGCGAATACAGATAGGCCATGTTTTGAATTTGAAATCAAAATCTTACATACTGGCCCTTTAACCTGTAATGAATGACTTAAAATGATCTTTCAGTGACTCGGAATGCAGTGTCTAAGCATTCTCTGACTTTATTAACAGACTAACCACAGAAATTCAAGACAGCAGAGGCATTTATGAAGATTTAAGTAGAGGCTTAGTGTAGATTAATATGAAATGAGCCTGCAGTCATGTTCCATTATAGCGACGAGACAGAGAGAAGAGCAGAGAGGGCCTCACTTGTTCTGACGTCCGTCGATGGAGTAAAAGAGCTCCTGCAGCTCCTCAGTGGTCAGGATGCCGTCTGCGAAGTAAGCATTGAACTCATCGAACGACAGCTTCCCATCATCTGCAAAAAAAGGAAATCATAATAAAAAATAAGACAACATGTTTATGATTTCTATGCATTTTATATCTGTGTACATCCACTTTTTCTCAATGTGGGATGATGCCATGGAATAACTAGTAACTATTAAAACTAATATGAAAACTGGATACTCATTTGAGCAGGTATAGATACTAAAGAAGTCACATCAACCGGATAGAAATGAACCTTTTCTGAATAGCTTTAGAATGATGAGCTTGAGAATGAAGTATAAGAGCACAGAGACTAGTATACATCCAAGGACCACTATAATACCTACATGGACAATTGAGGGATTACATAGATAACACCACATGGTAAAAGAAGTATAAAAGTACAATTATTTAATGTTAAAAATCACATTCTATTGTCTAAAGAATGTTCCAGTGTTGTATTATCATTGGTATTGAGTATGGACATTTGAATTTTTTGATCAACTACTTCTCTTTGATTGGTTGAATCCACATGAGTCATTGACCAATAAGAAGGATGGGTGAGGTAAAGCTGCTTAGAATAATGCACAGAATATGATGATATCAGACAAATTGTATTTTGTCATAGGGATCAGCAGGTGATTTGATTTTCACCCATTTACCCAGCACTGTACGTTCAAAAACAGAGATCAATGTTCTTCACACCCTGAAGAAGATCCAGTTCAATTTGATTTACTTTTGTAAAGTCTAGGCCTCTCAGGTCTTACCAAGATCATTGATTAAACCAACAGAAAGTTAGAAAATCCAACAGTGAAACCTTCATGGGTCAATAACAGACAAGCAGATTAACCAACATTCACACAAGCAAATGACATCCCCTAATATTGTCCTGTCCTCAACAGATAAAAGCTTAAAAATAAATCTAACCAAGTGCATGCCTGATATGTGTTTCTTTTTTTAAATGAATTTTCCAATTGTTATACCAGCAGCTCAATGCCTTTTGTTTTTGAGTTTCTCCAGTGATATCGTACTTAAAAAGAGATAAACTTTAAAAAGAGACAACATGCTAGTTTAGTCTTTCATTACTCATCTTGGACGCAAAGCCTGCACACATGTCAAAGCTGGACCAGTCTCTTCTAGCATACAGTACCAGGACTGATGACTCAGCTTGGAACGGAGACTCGATATTTCAGACCAAACAATCACAAAGACTTGGACACTTGAAAGATACACTGGTCAGCAAGTATGTCAAAAATAAATTACCAAAATCTATATTCAATGTATAGAAAGCTTCAGCGGTGCTCATCAGACACTGTTGTCAAGACGTTTTGGCTCCGTACACCATCTCGTTTCCAAAAACTATATATTCGATACTGTACACTAAATATATTGACGTGAATTCATTTTGCTGACAGACAGATATGTGCTTAAACGCTAACATTGCATTAAACTTGACTGAGATTTAAAGGTACAGTATGTCACTTTCTGGAGGTGAACATCAACTGCTAGCCAGGCTTGCGCCACCTAATGCCTCCGCTCAATTTCATTTCTCTCCAGCAACTAGGTCAGGAATAGGAATACACTAAACGGTTTGCAAGAACCCCAGAAGTTGTAGACCACACACCACTGAGATGGATGTAGACGAAGCCATACATTCTGTGTTGGCAACGATTCCCAAGATCAAGGATTTAAAGCCGGAACAAAGAGAATGTTTACTGAATTTTACCAAGGGGAAAGACGTTATTGCCCTTCTTCCTACGGGATTTGGTGCATTACATACGTCACAACCAATAGCAGCGATTGGTTAAATAAAAAAAGCACCCGCCCACTGTCGAGCAAACAAATTCTAATGCTGCAAGGTTAGATGGTTACCACGAAGTGAAACCAGCTGATGAATCAGGTTAGTATATAACAAATAGACATTTATATAAATAATGGATAGTGTTGTAATTGTTATCGGCGGTATGAACATTTAGAATATCAAATATATACTGTATGTTGTATGGTAAAACTTTTTATTTTTTTAAATAGATGGTAACACCTTGATAAAAGCTACAGACTGGGCCCTGATCAAGTGAATCAACAAAGCAACATAATTACAAAAACATTCAATGGAATAATCTAACATCCCCTCTTATTAATTTCACACAACATTGACAATTTATTATGCAAAATATCCTTGATGACATCTGCGTTAAAACCCCCATACCATTTGAGTAAACCTAACAGCTGCTCAGTTAACTTTGAGCTCCGCGTGTTGTGACAGACGTGGATGGAAAAATCAATAGCACAGGATAAATCGCCGCGTTGCCGTGTGTGAAGAAGCGTCCTAGCAACAGCCTATCATCAATCTGTCTCCTGGCATAGACTTGAGCCATCAGTCTGCATGCGCTGAGACTGCCACAACCAAACTACTCAAGACGATTTAATCCTCCTAATAGAGTCCAGAGCTGCAGAGCCATCCCTGTGTGTGCACTATAAATACAAACTCCACCGTTACTCAGTTTGAGACAAGGCATCAGATATCGGTAATGAAATAAAAAGCTCACACGGGTTATATGTGGAGCTTAAAATAGAGTAAGGAAAGGCAGAGTTTCATGGGGCTGAATGAGTCAAATATCAAAACATCTTATGTCATTGTTTTAGCCAGTGTGTCATTATTTATCAACTAATATATATCATTTGACCTGCGATTTCCAAGAGAGGTTGATATTTTGTGCCAACCAGCTGCCTAAAAGAGGGTCTGCCACCTACTTTGTTTATATAATTCGCGCTTAAAGGACTGTGGACAGTGACATGTAAACAAACAGTGTCATGTGAATGTGATGGCGTCTTTGGACCGTGGAGCGCTTTAGTTGTGCAGGCGTAAAACGGGCCACAGAACCCTAGGCAATCATACTTGAGAAAAGCACGGTTCTACAGTCCTAGTTTGAGTGCGCCCCTAGTACAGCAGGTGTTGGGGCAGACAAACACAGTCGCGGTAACTGGAGTTTACTGGACGTCCCTCAGTAGTGAGATCTACCTCGGGGTACAGCACATTATTTCACCCACAGTTGGAAATTCAGTCTCATACTTTGACTGTTATGAAGACAGAAGGGATGCACTTTGCTGCCACTGTTGCAGGGCTCTTCATGAAAGTAGCCGGTGAGTGGAACATCAAACACAAAGTCGTCTCACTGACAATTATTATGGTTTGCAATAAAAAATACATTTGCACAAAGCAGGCCTATCCATTTTTCTGTGTTGAGTATTATGAGTACTAAAATGAAGATTCAAGGAACAAAAATGTGTGATTATTTTGTGATTAATCGCAAGTTAACTATGACATTCATGAGATTAGTCACGATAAATATTTAATTGATGGACGGCACTAATTTTAACACAATTTGACCAGAGAGTGCTGACTCAGTTGGAACTACAACAGGTGAGCTGATTTGTGCTATTAAACAAGTCCCTCTCAAATAATATTACAGTCCCAAGCTAGCTAGAATTAGCCAACAATTTTTCAGTTAATCACTCTCACCTTTTTGTTGAAAATCACCTAAAACACCTAAAAGGGAATATGGACATAGACATGTTGATTACAGGCTCCTGAAAAAGTGCTGTAAATCCATTTTGCATTTTTTCTTGAGTTTTCAGACTAAGACTATCACTTATCAGACTGTGTTTGATATGCATTGTGTCACCATGGTAACTGCTGAACATTCCACCATACAGATACACGTAGAACAACCCCAGCTTGATGTTACTGCAAAGTATCAAAAAAAAAAGTCTGCAATGAAAATTTTGTTGTTCCATCCATCCATCCATTTCCTTCCACTTATCCGGGGAAGGGTCGCGGGGGCAGCAGTCTAAGCAGGGACTCCCAGACTTCCTTCAACCCAGACACGTCCTCCAGCTCCTCCGGGGGGACCCCGAGGCGTTCCCAGACCAGCTGAGACATAGTCCCTCCAGTGTGTCCTGGGTCTTCCCCGGGGCCTCCTCCCAGTGGGACATGCCCGGAACACCTCCGAGGGATGCGCCCAGGAGGCATCCGGAACAGATGCCCGAGCCACCTCAACTGGCTCCTCTCGACGTGGAGGAGCAGCGGCTCTATTCCGAGCTCCTCCCGTGTGACTGAGCTCCTCACCCTTTCTCTAAGGGAGTGCCCAGCCACCCTGCGGAAGAAACTCATTTTGAGCGCTTGTATCTGTGATCTCGTCCTTTCAGTCATTACCCAGAGCTCATGACCATAGGTGAGAGTAGGAACGAAGACTGACCGGTAAATCGAGAGCTTCGCCTTTCGACTCAGCTCCGTCTTCACCACAACAGTCCGATACAGCGACCGCATCACTGCAGACGCTGCACCGATCCGCCTGTCAATCTCACGCTCCATCCTCCCCTCACTGGTGAACAAGACCCCGAGATACTTTAACTTTGTTATTCTTTTGTTCTTACTTTATTCCTCATTCATTGCAATCTGTGCTTCATTTTTGTTGATATAAAAATTTAACACCTGAGATTCACACAGTGTAGTTTTAAAGGTGCACTACGTAACTTCTAAGCTACAGGGTCCGCTAATTGTTTGTCTCCAGATGTCATTTCTTTATCTTGAATGTTTCACATCAGGGCATTAAACATGTTTCTCTTGGATTATTTCAATTACAGATGTTTTATAGATCAAAAATACCTTAAAAACATGAAGTCTCCCCATGTGCAGGTTTCCTTCTCCATAGATATGACCATCATTCTGTCTCCATTGACATTTCCAAGTTTATTTCCATACCGTGATATAATAAAGGCAAAGCAGTAACATCTCCATGGAGACAAGCAAGTGGCAGACCCTCCAGCAGAAAAGTTACACATTGCACCTTTTCCTTATTCCTAACAATAGCCCCCATCTCTTCACAGATAAGGTACATGGGGCAGATGAATATGGCGGTTCCAGCTGGCTGATTCAGCAGAGACTGAAGGGCAGGCTGAGGACCATCTGTTTGGACTGGGCTGTTTGACATCTTATTATCTCCCACCACAAAGTGTCACGTGTGCTAAACCCACCGCAGCGTGTGTGCT